GTACAGGCATCTAAGTGTCTAAAGCATATTTATTTAGTTCACATGGCTACTAAATTAATAGAGTTAATGAATTTTAAAATTAATAAACTATTTTTATGTGAAAAAGTGAATTATTCTTATTTTCCTGAATTTCCTCCTAATACTTTATCAAGAGAGTGGAAGTTATGGAAGGAATTAGCATTTTGATGGTTAAGAGAAGAGAAATTTTTTAAATGGGGCATTTTGGAAAGTGCAGAATTTTGGTAAATGAGGATGATCAGAGGTATCATGAAAGATTTATGTGAAGTGATGATGGAAGTATGCTAATGACACACTGAAATTTTAGAATTCATCAAGTCAAGATACCCATCTCTCTATAGATACATGTCATTTGATGTCCTCTCCTTGTCCCCTTTAGCATGAGAGCCCTGAGACTGCTCAAGGGAAGAAAATTAAGGAAATGTAAAAACAAGGTGATTTAGGAAAAACCACATACATGAAGAAAAGAAAGTTGCTTGCTATTCAGGGTCTTTCATTTAGACTGGCTTTATGATTTTTAAAGTCAATAAATGGCAGTTTCAGTTATAGGCAGTAGAAATGCATTTGAAATTTATGATTCATCAAAGACTGGTATTTTACAAATATTACATCAGTGTTTATGTAAATAGCACTGTACATTTTTTCCTTCTATTGTTTAATACTAGTTATACTCTAAAATTGGAATGCATATAATTTAAAATAAGATCCCAGAAGCAGACATTGCCCCAATTTTCTGCATTGTTCATTCATTTTAGAAACAAATTGTACAATATGAGGAAGAGTAGTGAAAAGTTAAGTAGATCTTTTAAAAAGTGTTTTTAGTGCCTTTACTTAGAAAAGCCAATATTGAACTGAGTAACAAAAAAAAAAAAAGTTGAATTGAGAAGACATAGCCATACATGTCTCCTATAAAACTGTTCCAGATAATATATTTTACATAAACCATTCAGATTCAGCAGTCAAAATTTAAGTAACTTAGCAAATAATTGTTCAGCACTTACATGCTGGACACTATTCTATATACTTGGAATACATCAGTGAATTCATCTATCCCTTGCAAATCAGTTATCTTAACTACCCAGAATCCAATTGTAAAAAAAAAAAAAATGTACAAAAGATTTTGCCACAGTCTGGCTGGGCACACAATCACGAGCCACCACACAGCTTGTAGATTCAAACAGCAACTCTTTATTCCCGAACTCACACCAGCCGTCTACAATCACGTTCTGGGGAAATCCACGTTCTCTGCCCAAATCCCCCTCCACTGGGCTTCTATCTCCAAAATATACTGTCTGAATCCCGTGAGAACTCAAGGGGAACTCAGGCAGCAGGATATGTCCTATTCCCAGGAGGAATAATCTTAAACCTGGAACGCCCTAAACTGGATTATCCTAAACTGGGAACACCCTAATCCGCCCTGGTCCTTGAGCAAGGTCACCTACATTCAATGTCACTGCAACATGGGGTACGCTGGCAAGGAAATTGTCATACCTACTTGGCTAATGGCTCCCAGCAGATTTGAAAACAATGGTATTTAAAAACTTATGAGGGTCTGGGGTTGTGTGTGTGGTTTAGTGGTAGAGCGCTCGTCTAGCATGTGTGAGGCACTGGGTTTGATCCTCAGCACTACATAAATAAGTAAACAAAGTAAAGGTATTGTGTCTATCCACAACTTAATTTAAAAAAAAAAAAAAAAAGCTTATGAGTCTTTCATACTCCTTTGGCTTAGTTTTTTTTTTTTTTTTTTTTTTTATTAGCTTAAATCTCTGCCCAGAAATTGGAATGTGATAATTGGAAAGAAAGGGAACTAAAAGAGATGAGAGGTTTGAATTTGTCATTCAAACATCTGAATTTTGCACCTATACATTCTACCTTTAATGCTTATTCATTTACAGATCACAGGGTTTACAACTGTGATGTATTAGAAACTGATACATTAACACTGAGATAGGTTATGAATTTAAAAAGTTGTTCAGCAATACAGGGAATATTATTTTTAAAAAGTAATTAGGGTAGTTAGAGTGTAATCATTTTCATGTGTTCAGTAGATTTGTTCAGCACTTTTTTCATGTGCTCAGCTGTTCCGCACTATGCCTAGTTTAAAGGGATTTTTTGCTGTGGGGCTCTAGCTTACTCTGTAAGTGATCAGTGGGTAATTTAATGGAAATTAAATTTAATGGAAAGACACTAGCATGGAAAATAAACCAAATGAGTTTAGCTTTCAATAAGCCACAATCATAATTTGCTTTTGAAATTGTTGATTGTGATGTTACTTTACCTGATAATTACTCTTTGAAAATATCTACCCATCTAGCTGAACACAAATAAGTACTATCCGTTCAGCCATCCTGCATGTCTAGCTTTTTTCAGTGCAGAATAACAGCAAAAGTTACCCTTTCTTGTTATCCATACATAAGCATTAAACATTAAAGGCAAAAAATAATTAAAGAGGGAAGCTAAACTACCAAGACTCCACAGAAGGTATACAAATAGTATTTATGACTAGCAAGGAGATCAACCCTGTCTTCTGTTCCTGTGCTGTGCAAAGAATACCTGACTCAGGTACATCTAACAAATGTTCTTTAGTTGGCTCTATTGCTATAAAAATGCTTTTAAATTAATAGTCCCTATATATTTATATTCACCTGTATTCTTTACTGTTAATAACATTATGGAATGAAAGTACATTTTGATTTATTGAATGAAAGTCCATTTTGATTTATTGACAGCTATCGACAGTTATAAAATTGCATATGTTTAAATATATACTTAATATATTCCCAAAGGGATTTGAGACTACTTGTAATAACATCCTAGGTAAAACAAGCCTGTTGTTGGTCACACTTAGACAATTTTCCACCAGGGACACTTTCTCTGACATATGGTCTCTTCACTAGTTTAGCCCAAGATAGTGGCAAAGCTTTCCAGGTAGCTGTTTCTCAGTGAGTGCTGATCAACAGTTCAAGGCCCATGCTTGACAACGCTCCCAAGACTCCCGAAGTTGGTCCTCTAGGTTTCTGGCATCAGGAAAAGAATGGTGATGGTGATGCATGCAGTTTGGAATATTAAAAACAAACAGACAAAAGGAGCTGAGGAGGTAGAAGATGGAACTATATCATATAATTGAGCAAAATTAAGGGGTTCAAATATTTAAGAATTAGTTTTTATTATATTTCAGTATTGGGAGCAGAAGGATGAATTTTCTTAGCTATGAATTTTTACCCCGAAAAGGTAAGATTTTTCTTTGGCAAATGGCTCTTGCCCCATTTGATTCATTTATTTAAAGGAAGACAATTTGGTAATAAGCGAATTCGGAGGGTAATTTGGATGGCCTGTACTGGCTACTGAAGACATTTGGAACATCACGGAGAGCCACTGACCACCTTTCCAATATCTGACATTCACCCTAGGGCTCAAAGTGGGTTTCTTTTTCTTTTGAGGAGTTGCAGACAGCAGAGAGCACACAGGCCGGCTAGCTGCTCCAGGGCCCTTAAGTCCCCCCTGGCAGCCAGCGGGACGCTACGGCGCAGGCGCGGGGCGCTGCACCTGCTCCTCGGCGGCCGCCGGGCGGAGCGCAGGGTCTGCAGCGCCGCCTTGGGGTTTGTGCCGCTTCTCACTCCACTCCTACAACCAGGACCCCACCGCCTCTCCTGTCTGCCGCCTGCCCACCATAGTAGGTGAGCCGGTCCGCACACCCTCTGACCACTGCTCTTCCCGCCTGGCGTTCTTCCTCGCTCTAGCTTTTTCCTGAGCGGGATCTACTGCCCGCACCCAGCTCTCTCCCCACTGCGGACTTGTTGGCGGGACGCTGGCGGAAGTGACTATCAGCTTCCACAGTAGAGAAGGGATCAGAATCTTGGGTTTTCTGCTTCACAGATGTGTGATCTTGGGTAGGTTAAATTTTCTAAGTCACCGTGAAATATGGGCACATTCTAGAATGTTAATTTAGCAGCATGGAACTTGTCCTATTTTTGTTTCCATTGCTGTAAGTCACAAAGTCCTTCCTCATAGACACAGCCAATTACAGTGGCAATTCAACTAGCAATTTTAGGTATCTCTATAAAATTAATCTGTCCACAGCTGCCAGGTCTTTCTTTATTCCTTGCTACCTATTATATGTTACCCACACTCCCGCCCCGCATTTTATGACCTCATACCTTTACAATTATGGGCCTTTTCCCACAACACTTCCCCACCTTTTCCTAATTTGTTAAAATCCTACTCAGTGTGCATGGCAAGCTTAAATTCCACCTCCTTCAGGAACCACTTTTGATGTTGCCAGTGCCCTTGCTCTCTTCCTGACCCAAGCCTTTTCATTATTATGGTACCTGTCAGATTATCTTGGATTGCAGTCTTGTACTTGTTATTCTTTCTACATATCTTTCCCAGTCACACATTTCAAGTCTGTGGAGGCAGGAACCATGACTTTTTCATCTTTGTATTAACATAAGTGCTTCAAAATATGAATAAAAAAGAAGGGAGGTGGGTTTAAAAGCTTATGATTTACATTTTGATTGCAACTAAACTTGAGAGTGCAGTTCTGAAATTAGCTAAAAACTAACTGTAAACAAAGTAAAGGGAAATGAGTTCACTTCCCAATCTCCTACTCAGTGCCTGTGATGACAGTGATTTCAAATGTGTTCTCTCATTTCCTCACAACAATCCTGAAGTATCATCTCACTTACAGATGAGGAAACTTGAGGATAAAAACAATGACTTTCCTAACATGTCAAACCCAAATTGCAAACCTAATATTTTAAATCCTTCTGACAGCATTATTTACTGAAGTTAAGCAGAGGAATTATTACAATTTCCTTTTCAGGAATCAAAGATGATGTCCACAAATATCCTTCCTGAAGTATAACATGCTAAACAAATGTAAAATGTTAATTGTAGGAAAGATGTTATAAATCAAACACATAGCTATCTATTTCTATCATTCAAACATAGTACCTTGAATAAAGCATCTGGTAGACTAGAGATCAGTGATAGACATTTTAATGTTTCATGATGTTCTTTTTAAACAACTGCAGATAGCTGAATTCATCAAATGCCATTTATATAATTCAGTATTCACATAGCACCCAAATGTGTTTTGCAACAAAGGACAAAAACAAGACATGGTCCCTGCTCAGAAGGTTCATAATCTGAAAGACAATAAGATACTGAGGATGTATCTATAGGAACAGAAAACAATTTTTAAAAGTTTTTGTTTTTGGCAGGACAGTTTTCCAGTCTTCAGTGATAATCAATGAAATCCCTTCAGTGGGTTTTAGAATAGGATATTAAACAAAAGTACTCTTTTGTGAGTACTGAAAGAAAAAACTGATTTGGTTTCTGGGATATGATAAATGATTGTTAACCAATGGCAAGAAGCTACATCTCTGAGTATCAGAATATTTGGGGGTGGAACAAAGAGGCTAAGGAGTTTTAAAACAAGATGATATTTTCAGCCCTGCGCTGTTATAATTTCCTTTATTTTAAAAATTTGGTTAACATTAAAAGGGAGTGTAGGTCTACATTTTCTATAGGGAAGAATGCTTTAAAAAGAGAGATGAGAGTTGCCAAGATGAAGATTAAGAAAAATCAACAATGCAATGTTGATTGTTGTTTTTTCTGGTGGTGCAGTGCTAGAAAAAATGATGAAAACTGAAACAAGGGGAAAGAGTAAGATCACAAAACAAAGGAAGAATTAACAGGGTGATGAAAGGTTAATTATAAGGTCAGAAGAGGGGGAGGATTAATATAAACTTTGTCCTAGAAAAAAGTAAAAGATTTAAATATGTAATGTAAAGCTCCTGTTGAAGCAGAAGATAAATTTTAAATGATCTTGATTAAGAAGGGAAAATATACTTTAAAATATTTATTTAATAAAAATAATTTTATAATCTATACAGATTTGAATAAAAAGTACAATGAATTATTTTCGCTTCTTCGCAAAACTGTATACAGTACAACTAGCACATTGAGTTTAGCATTCTACAAATATGGCCACACTAAGATATGAACATATTTTTGTCTTAAATAGGTAAAGGCTCAGATTAGGGTGCCACAAACTGTGAATTAAATACCAGGGAAATATTGCTTTGGTAACATGAACAAATTGATTGTACCACAGTCCATTTTATTTACAAAATTAAATAAAATTCCTCAAACACTACCTTCCTACTTGTTTGGGGGTAAACAATTCCCTATAAAACAAAAAGGAATCAGAGCAAAAAATCAAAAAGTAACATTGCAGGTTGCTACCTTTATGACATCACTTACCCTTCCCTTCATTGTCAGAGTTGTTTTCCTTTCCCTTGATTGTTAAGGAAGTGAATAGAAATGATCTTTTTTATCCCCATCCATTTGCTTCTGGGATTCCTACTTAAATCATACAAACATACCAATTTTGCAATCTTGACACTATTATGAATGCTGTTTAGCTGTGTTGTTCTTAAAGTTAACACTCCAGCTAAAAGTGCCTACCTAGATTCTTTTTCACAATAAGGCAACAAAGTTGGCTTTAAAATAGTGTTCATGTCTCTCAAATATTAGCAGCCCCTTGGGAGATTGACTTGAGAGTTAAATACATACAGAAAAACTTTTTTCTTCCAAGTAACTTGGAATCACTAGTAACTTTTAACTTAAACAAATATTCAAGATGATCTGCCTTTAGAAACAAAGGCAGACCTAAGTTACAAAATGGAGGAACCAAATCTAACCTAGTTCCTGCCCACTGAAATAATTAAAAAGAGGCTCAGTTTATGGAAGAAGGCCTTGGAAAAATCTAACTCCTACTGACATCTTTATCTCAGATAATAAAGTAAAAATTATATAAAAGCTATAAATGCAAGGAAGTTATTTTAAAGAAAAAAGACTTGTTTGTTTTTTGGAAAAAAAAGGGAATGAAAAAACAAGATGGATTAGTTGTATCTTTAACCCACATGAGTTTTTCATCATGGAATTAATAGTCCTTCATACTGAATTACAAAAGACAAACAAACCTACTGATTATGTCTCTTCATTTAGATTACTAGCAAGCTTGAAACTTGTCTTCTTTTCTAAGTGAGCTTCTCTGGGAAGCATATGAATAATGCAAAAAATGTACTTCTAAAGAGTTTTCAAATACATAATGGTCAAGATAGGAACCAAAAACATTAATACAATGAATTTTTAAAAATAACTTAAAAATGAGAACACATACTCCTTACAGGACAGAACATTAAACCAGAGCAAATATTGCCAGTGATAGAACAACTGTCATCTGTAGAAACACAAATGCATGTGAGTAACACAGAGATTAGAATGAAATTGAATAGAGGCAGGTGCTTATAGGACATATTTCTCTCAAGGTTTGTAACATCGTGTGGCTTCTTTGAGGCCCTGTCCCACCAGGCCAAATGTTCAGCTAGTGGATACAGAGGTGCATGTGACCTATACAACACCAAACTCATTTGCTAATCAAGTATATAACACATGTGCTGCTTGACTGCTTTTGATTACTTACTTAATTTTCAAAATCAAGTTCACTTCTGAATCAGAAAAAAGTCATCCTTAAATTAGCTCTCAAAAATAATCCATGAATTAAACTTCACTGCTGGCTCCTCTCAACAGGACCATAATACTCCAGTAATATAATGTGTTAAGTGGCTGCTTTGAAGCCATGAAATATGCATATTCATAAATATTTGCTTAAACCTTAAAAAATTAAATACATCCAGGCAGTTGCTATGCAGAGTTCTTGCCATAAGAAGCAGCCCATTCAGCAGTGTATTATGAAGCAGTTACTGCAGAACCTGATTCTTGATCTTCCTGCTTTCTGTATTTCTTGATAACACTGACTGCACCATTTACCAGGAAAACCACAGCAATGAATGCAAAATAACTGGCGTAGATCAGGAACTAAAAGAGAAAAAAAGTAGCAATTTGCATAATTATTAGAGATGAGCTGTTTCATTTCATGTATGTGAGTATACCATATATAACTAAAGGTATATTCAGAGTTTCTCAATACAACTTCAAACATTGCATGCTTACACCATGTGCCAGGCATTAAAGACACAAAGCAGCAGCCTAGCATGGCAGTTCTTAATTCTGACTTCATTCCTTACTAGCTTTGTGACCCTGAATGAGATGCTTAACCATTGAGCCTTGACTTCTTCATTTACAAAATGGAGTTCATACCAATTGCTATGTCATAGGTCTATTGGGAGAAGCCAATAAAATGTAGAAGTTTATTAGCGTATTACTGCTGTTAATAATATTGTTTTAGCTGGGTGTGGTGGTGCACTCTCATAATCCCAGCTAGAAGGTTGAGGTAGGAAGACTGATAGTTCCAGGGCACCATGAAAATTACATGAGACTTTGCTTCAGGAAAAAAAAAAAAGGTGGACACTGGGATGTAGCTCAAGTGGTAGAGCCTTTACCTAGCATGTGTGACTCCTGGGTCTAATCCCCAGTACTACAGACACACATAAAAGGAATATTATTATTTTCATTGTTGTTGCTGCTATTATTCTTATTCTTGAGTCATGGTTTGTGTTATGCTTTGGATCTGAATGTCCCCCAAAAGCTCACATGTTGAAGGCTTGGTCCCCAGGCTACAGTATTCTGAGGTGGGGCTTCTGGGAAATGACTGGATCATGGGGTTCTGACTTCATCAGTGAATTAACCCTCTGATGGCTTCATAATTTGATGGCATTACTGGGAGGTGATGGAAATAAGGAGGTAGGGCATAGTTAAAAAGAGTGGGTTATGGGAGGTGATGTACTCTGGGGGGACTATCTCTTGTCCCTGGCCCCTTCCTTTCTGGCTTACTCTCTGCTTTCTGGCTACCATGAGATAAACAGCTTTCTTCAGCCACACCCTTCCACATGATTTTTCTGCTTCACCTCAAACCTAACAGCAAAGTAAAAATAAAGCTTTTCCCAGATAAGCTGATTCCATCAGATATCTTGTCAGAGTGATGAAAAGCTGATTAACACAGTAGGTATCCTCAAACTGAAGATCAAGTTCAAAGATCAAGAACTTCCATTCTTTTCCAGAAGAAGGCAGTAATAGGATTACTTTTTATAAGACTCTTCCCTAAAGCAGCTTTATAATGTGATTATATAGTTTACCAACATCATCATCATTTAATTCTTAAAATAACTTACTAAATACTTATAAATTGGTTCAAAGGCACAAGAAGAGTATGGCCTTAAATCTCTGAGCCAAGTTCATTTAAATTTGGATATATTTAAAATAGGAAGCCTGTTAACTAATCATGGCAGTTAGTTTCAGCATAGTACACAAAATTCTATTATTCCACAAGTTTAAATCCACCATTTCTACAAGGATGTGCTATCAAATTTCTACTTTAAATGTCAGCCATATGTTCTTCAACTGTAATAGGCTGTAACTCTTCCTTACCAAATAGGATGACAGGAACTTAGTTTTCTTCTATTCTCTATCCCAAAGTAGGTTTTAGGGTTAGACACTGGTTAAAATCCTAGCTCTTCCATACACTGATTGTGTGATCTTAAATCACTTGACATCTCTCAGACTTATTTCTTGATATCCATTCCTGACAACCACCTTGCAAATTCTATATAAAGCATCTGGCACATACAGGATACTGAATGCACAGTACCCATTATCATTATCTCTCCTTTAGACCTCTTTAATTTAAAAAAAAAAAAAAAAGTTAATTATTGCTAACATGTTGGGTCTTTGTGTCCTAAGAAAACTAATATGTAAATATGGGTAGTATTTATGGAGGTAATAATGGGGACATTTATGGAGGGAATAATGGAGAAGGAATCATTTGGGCTGAGCTGGGCTGAGACTGGGGATAGACACTTCTTGATTCAGTTGCCTACTATAACAAAGTACAGAGCAAATGCTAACTACAAGTTCACAATACATGAAGGCATACACAACTATACAATTTCTGAACAAATAAAGATATTCATATTGTCTTTGGGTGTCTATGCAGGTGTTTTCTCAATAGGTCATGTTAAGAATCAAAATGCTGTTTGTCCACTGCAAGTCATTCCATTGGTATTTGGGTGAGGGCTGTGAGATAATGAGGTATGTCATCTTAACCATAAGATATACTATTCCAGGCATCAATTAAGAAGGGGCTAGGGTGGCTGGGGTTGCCACTCAGTGGTAGAGTGCTCGCCTTGCACGTGCAAGGCCTTGGGTTCGATCCTAAGCACCACATAAAATAAATAAATAAAATAAAGGTATTGTGTCCAACTACAACTAAAATTTTTTTTAAAAAAGAAGGGGTTGGGGCTCAGTCGTACTTAGGGTACTCACCTAGCATGTGAGGCACTGGGTTCGATCCTCAGTACCACATAAAAATAAATAAAGTCATTGTGTTCATCTACAACTAAAGAAAAATATTTTTTTAAAAAGGGGGCAGGGAGCTGGGGTTATAGGTCAGTGGGAGAGCACTTGCATAGTATGTGTGAGGCCCTGAGTTCGATCTCCAGCCCCACAAAAAGAAAGAAGGACTAAGCCCAGAAGGAATCAATAATATCTCTCAGATGAAATAGTCCCTTTAGGCTAGTTATACTCAAGAATGCTCTAGGGCCTCATCTAAAAGATGATGATGATCTCAACATCCTCCACATAAAAGAACTAAGGACAAGGAGGTAACTGGAGGAACAAGTTTTTTGGCTTTGTTTTCATGAAGTATGTTCTACTTCTGTCACCCTGATCACATCAGACCACCTTTAATGCCAAAGGAGAGATCTTACCTGAGTCTCAATTTGTAGGCCAAGGCCACTGGCATCTACCACAATCAGCGTGAGCAGAGTCTGCAGTGCAAGGGCAATGAAGGTATTTACACCAAACACTAGGGCATAGCGTTCCATGCTGAGGTTTGCAGCAATCTGAAAACTTTTTTAAAACAGTAAAAGGAGAATTAATAGACAAGACTGCTTCCTGGATAATTATAATCTTTAACTATGAGGAATAGCTCCTTCTTTCCATGTCAATTCTCTTCCCAATCAAATGAAAAAAATTTGTTGCTGAATAATGTAAATTCCATGCAAAGATCTAAAAATAGTAGGAATATACAAAAAGGGAATAATCAAATCTTGTCTACATGCTTCCTGAAAAGAAAAACTGATAATGCACATACGGTATGATGCTGCTTCCCACTTATCTTTTAACTACAAATCTGAATTTCTTGGTTTGGGAAGCAATCAAAAAGTTTTTAATCCTGTCACATATTTTCCTTACACTGTTTTTAAAGCCAAAATACATACGTTGCTATTGTGATGAGTAACATGTAGATGGTTCTGAAGACAACATAGGATGCATAGCACACCCAAATGTCACCCACAGTGTCCATGACATACACTGCAGCAGCAATCAGGAGAGAGCACAAAGATAGTGTCATTTCTCCCCAAGTTGACCAGGATATTTTTATATAACCAACCATAAACACAGCAATAGCACCTATAAAACAAGAAGACAATAATCTAGTTATTGAACTTTATTGAACACACACATTTCAATAAATTAAAATTATATTTTAATTTATCAAATTTTACAAATCAGCCAGCTCAAGATTAATGGAGGCCTTGAAACTCAGGCAGAGAATTTTGGACTTGATGGAATAAACAACATGGAGCAACTGAGAAATGACAATAGACTAACTTAGGGTAGCTGGCACTGAGATGGAGAGAGAAGACACAGGCCTTAGGAAAAGTGTCAGAGAGAACCAGGCTTCTAGTTTGACAACAGTGCAGCATACATATTGTCTCCTTCAAACCAAGGTGCAATCTAGTATATATGAAAGGGCCTGTCTATCCTTTTGGTAAGATAATGATGCTGAGAGCTAAAATATATGGAGTGCTTTCCCAGGCACCATTAATAAGTGTTTACAGATATCACATAAAACCTTCCAATGACATCTAAGTAGGGCAACAAATAAGAAACAGACAATGGAATTATAATGTGAAGGGCACAGACTCTAAAGCTATGCCCAAGCTCAAGTCTTGACTTGATCTTACTGCTTGCATATATGCAACTGTAGGCAAGTTACCAACCTACTGTCCCAAGTTTCCTTTGTAAAATAGTGATAATAAATGCATCTATCTCGGGAATTGTGTGAAACTGAATTACTATATGTAGAACATTAGGATACATGTTACTATACATAGAACATTAGAATAGCACCTAGCACATATTAAACTCAAGTGACATTAGCTATTATTGCATATTGCTACTTAAATTTCACATCAAGTGAAAAAAACAAAGATAATGAGAAACTTGGATAAACAAAGAAAACAATTCTGAAAATTATTTATCAGCTTTCCCTGAAGCTTATAAAAAATTCAGGTTTGTCAGTCGTATAGTCCCCCACCACTTGAGCCCTTCTAAGTTCTCCTACATAAATCAGAACTCAAAATAAAGGGTCTTCAAATTTGGGAGGGGGGACTAAAATCAATCACAAGTGGCTTAACTACCAGTTAAGCCCTTACTGCCATCCTGCACTACTTGCCCAGTAAGGTTGAAACGGCCTCCACGCCACCATTGTAGATTGCAGCATGGCGAGAAGACATCACCTTCTCCCATAGGCCCTGTGTGTAGTTCACAACTTGAAAATAGCCACAGGTGGAGAGGGCCCACCACACAGACCAGCAGAGTAGAGGGCGGGAAGAGTAGCAGATCAAGAAGTCATTCCACAGCACCTTCAGCACAAGGAGACGATCTGCCCTGGGCTCCTATGAAGCAAGAGAAAACAGCTCAAACACTCTGATGGAAATTGTACAGGAGGCAACGACAGAGACTGGATTTTCTATTTAACAGACTTCTTTTTCCTTGTAAAAACAAACTTCTTATTTTATATAAATAAATAAGTAAACAAACTTATTAGTAATTATATTTATCCCTGGTAGGGAAGATCACTCTATAATCTCACAAATGACTATCTAAAGTAAGGGCACAATGTCTAATGATAACATTAATAACAGTAATTAACATGAACTAAGTACATACTAGATATACTTATTTAAGAGCTTTCTACTGCCTCATTTAATACTCAAAAATAATAGATACATGACATGAATAAGGAAACTATGTCTCACATAATTAAATAGCTTGCCCAAGAAGTATTAGAACTAGGATTTGCACTTAACTTCTTGATCTTCAAAACCTACTATACCCTGCTGCCAGAAATCTTACATAAACTCTGAAGTATTAATGATATGCCAGTCCATATGCTAAAGTAGTAGTTTCGTGTGAATTATTCATGTGTGTATTGTGAGAAGAGAGAGACTATGTGTAAGAATACTGGGAAGGGAATCTAGGGCCTCATACATGCTAGCTAAGTGCTCTACCACTGAGCTACAATCTCAGCCCCTAAGTTGTTATTATTTTTTAATATTTGTTTTATTTGTAGTTGGACACAATACCTTTATTTTATTTATTTTTATATGGTGCTGAGGATTGAACCCAGGGCCTCACACGTGTGAGGTGAGCACTCTATCACTGAGCCACAACCCCAGCCCCCCTTAATTATTTTTGATGAAGAACTCAAAATATATCAGGTCCAGTTATAAGGTAAGCACCTCAGTCCAGTTCTGATCATGAAAGAAAACCACTGGCTTTGGTGATGCCTCTTTCTGCAATATTACCAACCTTGACCCCAAAGCAACAGGCTTTGAGAAGAACTCACAAATAACTTGTGGACTGGACTATCACTTTGACTCATCCTACTTCACTCTTCCTTTCTATAAAATCAAAATAAAACTACTAACTCTTCAATGTTTCATACAACTATAATTTACTGTTTAATTATGGCTTAATTAAATGGTCTATAATCTCCAATATCCACAGTCTGACTTTCCTTCAGGCTTGCCCAAGAAAAACGGCAGTATTTTCAGGCCAGTCAGAACAGCTTCCAAGCAGCACAGCAGCCTGATATGGGATCAGAAGCAGAGCCTAGGATATCACAGAATTGACCTGAATCCTAATTTTCATCGCACTATAGCCAACCTGATAGACTTGTGGTGTCAGCCTAGTGAAAGATTTTACGGATCAAAGTATAGAGAGAAGTGGATCTCATGAGTGCTCTTAAATTATGTTCAGGAGCATTATCTGTGCGATTCTGCATAAATTGCTAATTTCTGATTCTAATGCTTATCTCTACAGTGAGAGGGCTGATGAGATCTAGTCCCTTTTAATATGCTCCGATTGTTCTAGGATCTGTGCTCAGAATCAACTCTAATCAAATTTTACAACTCTTCAGCATATAAAAATATGTCATTTCACACATCTATAAATAAGAAATTTCAAGTTGGTCTAGGACAGAATTTTTTAAACCATAGGTCACAATTCATCAGTAGGTAAAAATATGGATTTAGTGAGCAGTGACCTGAATTATAAAAAAATAAATAGAATGGAATGTATCGGAATAAAGTATAATGTTGCAAACATCTTTTTTGTTATACATAAAATATATGTGTGTGTACTGGTTGCTATGTAAAATATTATTCCTGTTTTTATTCACATTCAAAAAACTTGGTCTATAAATATCTATAAAATCTTTAGAATTATGGTTTTGTTAATATTTAAATTATACACTTACGCCTACCCTGCAAGAAGCCTTGGGTTTGAGACCAACCACTGCAAAAATTAAAAAACAAAATATATTTTTTATGTATTATACGTAAGTATATATAGTCAGCCAAATCCATTTTAAAACATTTGGAACAGACAAAAAGAGAGTTCTTATTTTATTTGTTTCTACTATATGAGACCTATTAAATGATTATATATACTTGCCTCCCCCAGCAACCCTTTGTTGATTTTCCAATGTCAGCTAACAAATTCTGATGGAATCAGCATTTCATCGATATTCAATCCCTGGTCATTTTGGCCAAATGTGGCTGTAGGTTCCCTAGTGATCAAGGGTGAGTCTCATGATGAGTATCAACCAGGCTCTAGAGGGTGCCTCAGGCTCCTAGTGACAATAACCTAAACTCCAGCTAATAACCTGAGATGAAGAATGGGGTAGGAAAAGGAGAGAATTTTCAATAAGGACATGAGAGACCACTTTTGAAACTACTGGGTAAACTCTAGGTACAATGCAGACTCTGTTCAGGGTGGTTCTTTATTCTCATTTAGTCTACACAACTTTCAGAGCTCAGTATTAAGTCTGCCAGAGCCCACATGCAAAGCTGGAATGTTAATAGGCTTATTTCCAAGTATGTCCCAGAAAAACTAAAACTAATTCAGTGTGGATGCAATGAAACTTGTCCCTTATAGTTTATAATGTGATAGAGGGGGTTAAAAAAAGTAGGTGACTGGGGAGGCAGTTCATCTTCCTGGAAAGACAGAATGAGTAGATGAATTATTTTAAATGTCATCTCTCTTTCTTTATAATCGCACTTCAAGTATTTATTGCATTTTTTGCGTGTATATGTGCATCTTCATACATGTACTTGGGGTAATGATGTCCATCATCTTTCCTACCCACCTATCTCCTCCCTTCCCCTCCCTCCCCTTTGCCCTATCTAAAGTTCCTCCATTTCTCCCATGCTCCCCCAACCCATCCCATATGGATCAGCATTTTCATATCAGAGAAAACATTAGGCATTTGGCTTTTGGGGATTGGCTTAACTTCACTTAGCATAATATTCTCCAACTCCATCCATTTACCTGCAAATGCCATGATTTTATTCTCCTTTAATGCTGAGTAATATACCTTTGTGAGTATACACCACAGTTTCTTTATCCATTCATCTACTAAAGGGCATCTAGGCTGGCTCCACAGTTTAGCTATTGTGAATTGTGCTGCTATAAACATTGATGCGGCTGTGTTAATATAGTATGCTGTTTTTAAGTCCTTTGGGTATAAACCGAGGAGTGGGATAGTTGGGTCAAAGGGTGATTCCATTCTAAGTTTTCCAAGGAATCTCCATACTGCTTTCCATATTGGTTGCACCAATTTGCAGTCCTACCAGCAATGTATGAGTGTGCCTTTCACTCCACATCCTTGCCAACATTTACTGTTGTTTGTATTCTTAATACCTGCCATCTGAATGGAGTGAGATGAAACCTTAGAATAGTTTTGATTTGCATTTTTCTAATTGCTAGAGATGTTGAACATTTTTTCATATATTTGTTGACTGACTGTATATCATTTTCTGAGAATTGTCTATTCAGTTCCTTGGGTCATTTATTGATTGGGTTATTTATTGTTTTGGTGTTAAGATTTCTGAGTTCTTTATATATCCTAGAGATTAGGACTCTATCTGAAATGTGTGTGGTAAAAATTTGCTCCCATTCTGTAGGCTCACTATTCACCTCACTGAAATTTCTTTTGCTGACAAGAAGCTTTTTACTTTGAACCCATCTCATTTATTGATTCTTGATTTTATTTCTTGTGCTATAGGAGTCTTATTAAGGAAGTGGGGGCCTAAGCCAACAAGAAGATTTGGACCTACTTTTTATTCTATTAGGTGCAGGGTCTCTGGTTTAATTCCTAGGTCCTTGATCTACTTTGAGTTGAGTCTTATGCATGGGGAGATATAGGGGCTTAATTTCATTTTGTTGCATATGGATTTCCAGTTTTCCCAGCACAATTTGTTGAAGAGGCTACCCTTTCTCCAAAAATGTTTTTGGTGCCTTTGTTTAATATAAAATAATTGTATTTATGTGGGTTTGTCTCTGTGTCCTCTATTCTGTACCATTGGTCTACAAGTCTATTTTGGTGCCAATACCATGTTATTTTTGTTCCTATTGCTCTGCAGTACAGTTTAAGGTCTGGTATTATGATGCCACCTGCTTCACTCTTCTTGCTAAGGATTGCTTTGGCTATTCTGAGTCTCTTATTTTTCCAGATGAATTTCATGACTCCTTTTTCTATTTCTATGAGGAATGTCATTGGGATTTTGATTGAAATTGCATTAAATTTGTATAGTGCTTTTGGTAGTATGGTCGTTTTGACAATATTAATTCCGCCTATCCAAGAACAAGGGAGATCTTTCCATCTCTTAGGTCTTGTTTAATTTCTTTAGCATTCTGTGATTTTCATTTTAGAGGTCTTTCACTTCTTTTGTTGATTCCCAAGTTTTTTTTGTTTATTTTGTTTAAGCTATTGTAAATGGGGTAGTTTTCCTAATTTCCTTTTCAAAGGATTTGTCTCTGATGAACAGAAATGCTAGAGTTTCAAGAACTATGTTAAATAGAAGAGGTGAAAGAGGGCATCCCTGTCTTGTTCCAGTTTTTAGAGGGAATGCTTTCAATTTTTCTCCATTTAGAATGATGTTGGCCTGGGGCTTAGCATAGATAGCTTTTACAATGTTGAGATATGTTCCTGTTATCCCTAGCTTTTATAGTGTTTCGAACATGAAGCATGCTGTATTTTGCTGAATGCTTTTTTTGCATCTATTGAGATGATCATATGATTCTTATCTTTAAGTCTTTTGATGTGATGAATTACATTTATTGATTTCCGTATGTTGAACCAACCTTGCATCCCTGGGATGAATCCCACTTGATCATGGTGTACAATCTTTTCAATATGTTTTTGTATTCAATTTGCCAAAATTTTATTGAGATTTTTACATTTATGTTCATTAGAGATATTGGTCTGAAGTTTTCTTTCTTTGATGTGTCTTTGTCTAGTTTTGGAATTAGGGTGATACTGGCCTCATAGAATGAGTTTGGAAATGTTCCCTCTTTTTCTATTTCATGAGATAATTTGAGGAGTACTGGTTCTTTGAAGGACATGTGTATCCATCTAGTCCTGGGCTTTTTGTGGTTGGTAGGCTTCTGATGGCATCTTCTTGCTTGAAATTATCTGTTTGACTTGTAAATATCATCCTGATGCAATTTGGGCAAATCATATGACTCTAGAAATTTACTGATGCCTTTGATATTTTCTATGTTATTGGAATATAAATTTTCAAAATAATTTCTAATTATCTTCTGTATATCTGCAGTGTTGTCATGATATTTCCTTTATAATCACGAATGTTAGTAATTTGAGTTTTCTATCGCCTTCTCTTTGTTAGCATGGCTAAGGGTTTATCAATTTTAGTTTTTCAAAGAACCAACTTTTTGTTTTGTCAATTTTTTTCAGTTATTTCCTTAGTTTCAATTTCATTGATTTCAACTCTGATATTAAGTATTTCCTGTCTTCTACTGCTATTGGTGTTGATTTGTTGTTCTTTTCCTAGGGCTTTGAGATGTAATGTTAGGTCATTTATTTGTTGATTTTTTCTTCTTTTAAGGAGTGAACTCAATGCAATGAACTTTCCTCTTAGTACTGCCTTCATAGTATCCCAGAGATTTCGATATGTTACATCCGTGTTCTCATTTACCTCTAAGAATGTTTTAATCTCCTCTTTGATGTCTTTGGCAACCCATTATTCATTCAATGGCATATTATTTATTCTCCAGGTGTTGAAGTAGCTTCTATTTTTTATTTTGTCATTGATTTCTTATTCCATTATAATATGATTAGAATGCAGGGTAGTATCTCTACTTTTTGTATTTGCTAAGAATTGCTTTGTGGTATAATATATGGTCTATTTTAGATCCACGTGCTGCTGAGAAGAAAGAGTATTCACTCGTTGTTGGATGAAATATTCCATATGTGTCTCTTAAGTTTGTTATTCATTGTGTTATTGAGCTCTGTAGTTTCTTTGTTTAGTTTTTGTTTGGAAGATCTATCCAATGGTGAAAGAGGTGTGTTAAAGTCATCCAGAATGATTGTGTTGTGGTCTATTAGACTCTTGAACTTAAGAAGAATTTGTTTGAAGAACACAGATGCTCCATTGTTTGGGGCATATATAATTGTTATGTCTTGTTGGTGTTTGGTTCCCTTGAGCAATATGTAGAGTCCTTCTTAATCCCTTTTGATTAGCTTTGGCTTGAAGTCTACTTTATTTGATATGACAGAAACCCCTGCTTGCTTCCGCAGTTCATGTGAGTGGTATGATTTTTCCCAACCTTTCACCTTCAGTCTGTGGATATCTTTTCCTATGAATCTCTTGATGGCAGCATATTGTTAGGTCTTTTTAAAAATCCAACCTGCCAGTCTATGTCTTTTGATTGGTGAGTTTAGGCCATTAACATTCAGGGTTATTATTTGAGACATGATTTGTATTGCTGGTTATATTTGTTTATTTTTGACATTTAAAACTTGACTTAGTTTCTCTTTTGATTAGTATCTCCTTTAGTGTAATAATTCCCTTTGCTGATTTTCATTGTTGTTTTTCTTTTCCTCCTCATAGAATATTTTACAGAGGATTTTCTGTAGTACAGGCTTTCTAGTTCTAACTAGAAAATTAACTTTTGTTTATCATGGGAGGTTTTTATTTCGTCATCAAATCTAAAGCTTAATTTTGTTGGACATAAGATTCTTGGTTGGCACCCATTTTCTTCCAGAACTTGGTATATGTTGTTCCAGGATCTTCTAGTTTTCAGGGTCTGGTTGAAAAAACTGCAGATATCCTAACTGGTTTCCCCCTATATGTGATCTGATTCCTTTCTCTTGTGGCTTTTAAAATTCTCTCCTTTTTCTGTATGCTAAGTATTTTCATTATAATAATGCACCTGGGTGTGGATCTTGTGATTTTATACATGGGATGTCCTGTAAGCCTCTTGTATTTTATTTTCCAATTCATTCTTCATGTTTGGAAAATTTTCTGATATTATTTTATTGACTAGATTGTTCATTCCTTTGGTTTGGAACTCTATGCCTTCCTCTAGCCCTATAATTCTTAAACTTGGTCTTTTTATGTTATCCCATAATTCTCAAATGTTCTGCTCATGGTTTCTTTTCATCTTCACTGTCAACATTCAAGATTATATATTTTGTCTTCATTGTCTGAGGTCATGTCTTCCAAGGGTTCTAGTCTGTTGGTGATGCTTTGTATTGAGCTTTTAATTTGGTTGTTTCTTTCATTTCAAGGATTTCTGTTTAGCTTTTTATCAGAACCTCTACCTCCCTATTGAAGTAATCTTTTGCTTCCCATATTTGCTTATGTAGCTCTTTATGGAAATGATCTTTTGCTGCCTATAATTGCTTTCTTGTATCATCCTTTAATTTACAGAACATTTTAATTATGTACATCCTGGACACCTTCTCTATCCTTTCTTCTGTTGTATTGGCCATGGATTCATCTTGGTTTGTTGGGGGCACCTTCTTCCCTTGTTTTTTCATGTTGTTTGTGTGTTTTCCCTTCTAGCACTGTGGATCAAAGGTGTTACCCTATAGGCTTATAGTGTCCCTGCAGGTTTCCAATACCTCTCCTTTAAGGGGGAGAATAATGTGAACAGATTCCAATAAAACAATATACAACCTTAAACCAAATAGCTGCTGTTAAGACATTAACAGTTTGTGTCAATATACAGAAATGGTAAATTCAATTATTATCTACAATATAAATGATTTGCAAGAAGGGTCTACAATTTCTGATGGTGGACAATGAACTGGGGTGAGGTGTAGGATGAGATGCTGAAGGGGTAGGAGGTGAGAATATATAAATGATTTGCAAGAAGGGTCTACAATTTCTGATGGTGGACAATGAACTGGGGTGAGGTGTAGGATGAGATGCTGAAGGGGTAGGAGGTGAGAATATAGAGTTATTAGATCTTAGGAAGCATGAAAGAGGAATCTAAAGAAGTTGGTTAGTAGATGGAGAAAAGAGAAAAAGTGATTTTTGAAATACAACTATGTGGGAAGATAGTAGAATACAAAAACCAAATATAAATATTAAGAAAAGTAAAAAAAAAAAATAAAAAAGTAAAAATAGGAGATAAAAGAAGATACAATACCACTGTAATATTCTATTCAAGCATCCCAGTCCTCAGTAGCCTAATTATTGAAAAGTACTTGGTTTCACAAATGTTGGGGATGTGAGGACAGGAGGAGAGAAAAAAAAAAAAAATCTGGAAGGAAAACACAAGGATTGTTTTTGTTGGAGATCAGTATCTTTCCTGCTTCCCTTCTCATCTAATAGGTGGGTTGTCTGTTGTTTGCTGGCATCTCCACCCTCAGGATGGTGAAGGTCATTAGGGTGAGAGGATTGGTCTTGGGGGCATGGCTCCTGGAGGTGGGATACTGCACCCCAAAGATCTCCTTTGGGGCCCACTCATGTGATGTGGGCTCCTGGTCTTATCTTCTTATATCACCTATAGACCACACAATTCCTGGTCTCTAATTTAGTCTCTAAACTGTATCTCACACACCACTTTCTACTTCCCAATCAGGAACCTTTCTTTCCAGAGGTCTTGTGGGCTGTGCTCTGGGGGCTGTGCACCTGCAGCAGAAAGCTGTTTTATATTGGGCAGTTCAGGACCAGATTTTACAAACTACAGACTGGTTGTATAGCTACAAGCTCTGTGCTGGGTTAGTGGCTGCCAGGGAGTGGGGTGAGTTGGGGACTTTCGGTACCTTGATATTATTTCTAATACCCAGCAGTGTTCCAAGCTAGAAGTGGCTCCAACTAAAGATGGCAACAAAGGTGTCTCAAGATGGAGGCATCCACTTTCAGCAATGGGGTATGGGATTGGGTGGGGCCAGGCAGTGGCCTTGAGTGGTATGTTCAGAGATGCAGCTCTCTGGCATGCAGTAGTGTGGCTGGTGGCTGTCACCGGAATCAGTGCAGCATTCCCAGGTGCAGGCTACTATGTGTAGGGGACTGTGGCAGTGGTTCCAGTGACTCAAGATGGAGGCAACCGAAGAAGCCCCATGTTGGTAGGTGGGGGTCCATTCAAAATGGGCAGCCAGAGTTCCTATGCGTGAGCTGCAGCAGGGTTTTCTGTGTCGGAGCAGCAGCCTGGAGTCCTTCGTGGGTGCTAATGCCAGTGGTCCTACTCTGGCACCCAGAGGACTTGCGTAGCCGATGGTCAGGAGTCTGCTGAGGCCATGCAATGAGGCCTGGAGACCTGTGTAGCACAGCGGCCGAGATTCCCACGTGAAGCAGCTGTCGGGGGTCCTCTAATTGCTCACAAGGAAACAGTATTTCCACTACTTGAATCCCAGGTTCCAGAGTGACACAGAATGCAGCCTCCCTCTAGCATCTCCCATTATCTTAATTGTTCTCTTGTGATTCTCTTTCTTTGCATTATTCATTACTATCCCACTTTGGCAAAGTGTCATTTGAAAAATAAGTAACATACACTACTTTAGCATAAAAAAGGAAAACAACTTTCTATCTTTAAAGACTGTGGGCTTCAATTCGGAAACTGGAAGTAGATATAGAACATTTATCAGAATCATTTAATCTGTTAGCCAGATTTTTCTGAGCGCTAGCTTTATATACTTTATCAAACACTGGGGACAGAAAGATGAAGTAGACATAGCCCCTGGAATCTAAGACATTTCTGACATTAATAATACAATGTTATGCCAGTTCAATTTTGGAGGTCAAGCACTCCAGGGGAACATTTGTCATTCTTAATATAAATCAATGGTATCTTGAATTAATGAATGAATGAATCAACAAACCCACTCATGACAAAACTTTAAATCCAAAACCAAGATCTAGCAAGAGGGGTTTTCCCGTCTGTCTTATCACCATTAGTCAGCCCTCAAAAAACAGCAACTACAAAACATTTAAGGGTGAGCTTACCAGTTCCTCATGCGGAGGCTCCTCCAAATTTAGAGGGATTTTGGATTCCATGTCCTCCCACCCAGGAAGGTGGTTAGAAGCTGGCGTGTTAGAAATAATGCCACCATTTTGTACCTTTATGCCATTTACTCTTTGGCAGGTAGAAGGAATGTGGTGAAAGAAGAGGCTCTTCTGTGGCATGGGCAGGAACCAGGCCACAGCAAAAGCCACAGAAACACAAGTAAGAGAGATAACATTCAAGCTGAATAGGGACCAGCCTGCTACTGAGACAAGGATCTGCCCTAGGACAGAGCCCACTGTGAAGCCCATCAAGGTGGCACTTCGGCAGTAACTTGTGACTTTCTGGTACATGCTTAGGTCCACTACACTGTAGATATAAGAGTAATAGGCAATTTCTGTGGCTGTGGCGATGCCATAGAAGAATTCTAAGAACTGAACGGCCAGCAGTCCCTGGGCATAGAGCAGCATGAACCATGTAACAATAAGGCTTAGTCCCTGTAGTAGAACAACAGGTTTATAACGGAGGTAGTCTGTAGCAACGAACACAGGAAACAGCAGCACCAGGTAAGAGTATGTCCAAACTGGATAAATTTCATTGAAGACCTGGTAAAGAGAGAATAAAAATCTCTTAGTGATCGAAACACTCAAAAAGAACTTATTTTTATAAAACACCTACCAATGCTTCAAATACCACATTCTTACCAACCAAAGAAACCTTGTCAATAACAGTTCAGATATCTGTTCAAAATATCCTTCCCCATCTCTACTCTGTCATCTTTTTCTTAATAAAATCTTTTCCCTTTCATAAAAGCTCTTCAGGCTTCCTTATCCAGGAAGACTGCTGAAGTTGATATTCAAAGTTCTCTTGATACCATCTCATATCAGTGTCCCCATTTAACTCATAACACTGGTTCATAGCCATGGCTGTATACCTCTCAAGAAGCTTTAAATATTTGGGGTTTCAAGATTTTTTTTAAAAAACTTCCTAGAACTACTGTCTTGTAGGTTCTTTAACATGGGACCCAACATTCATCTGTATACTCTAACAGCCAGCATGCTTAAAAGATACGGGGCTCTGGGTTGGGCATGGTGGTGCATGCCTGTAATCCCAGTGATTCCAGGAAGCTGAGGCAGGAGGAATGAAAATTCAAAGCCAGCCTCAGCAACTTAATGAAGACCTGTCTCAAAATAAAAATAAAAAGGGCTGGGAGTGGGCTGGGATTGTGGCTCAGCGGTAGACACTCACCTAGTACATGTGAAGCCCTGGGCTTGATCCTCAGCACCACATTAGATAGATAGATAGATAGATAGGTAGATAGATAGATAGATAGATAGATAAAGGTGCTGTGTCCAACTACAACTAAAAAATAAGTATTTTTAAAAAGGAAGGTCTGGGGATATGGGTCAATGGTAAAGTGCCTCAAAACAAATTATCTACTTGATTAAAAAAAAAAAAGATACTAGGCTCCTTTAATGTTTTAGAAGAAGTACAGGACAAGGGAGCTTTGATCCTACTCACTAATTATATCTTTCTAATTTTAATTTTTGGAGCAAAGGAATAGGTAGAGAGAGTGAATCAGTCCTAGCATCTTGACAGAACAATTCTCTCAGGATAGTAGGATTATAGGCAAGTTTTGTCTTTTTTTACTTATTTGTAATTTGGAAGAAGATTGTAGTTTTTTCCATCTTTTCAAATTTTAAAAATTAAATTTTTTCCTTGAAAGATAATTGTACATACTTATAGGATACAGTGTGTTGTATCAGTAAATGTACACACTGTATAATGATCAATTCAGGATACTTAGATTATCCATCACCTCAAACTTTTATCATTTCATTATGATGGGAACATTCAAAATCATTTCTTCTAGCTAATCACCCTTCTGCGAATAGTACACAAGAACTTACTGCTATTTTCTTTTTAATGCATATTTTAAATGGCAATATAATTTAAAATAATCTTTAAAGCAAGCATGAAACTAGAACGCTCCAGCTGGAATTACAATTCTACTACTTGCTGTGTGATTAGAGGTGCTCCTCTGTCTATGATGGCTTAGGTTCTGATGAACTCATTCTAACTTGAAAGTACAAGTCACTCAGCACACCTAGCCTACCAAGCAGCAGCATCTAGCAACATGCAGCATTGGCCACTTTTCCTTGTGACTGTCTGGCTAGCTGGAAGCTATATTTACCACCAGCATCACTAGAGAGCAAGGCACCATGTATTGGTAAGCCCACGAAAAGATCAAAATGAAAAATGTGGAGTATGATTTCAAATGAATGTATATTGCTTTTGTACCATCATAAAGTAAAAAAAAAAAATCCTAAGTTGAACCACTGTGTATCAGGAACTGTGCAAAGAATATAGAATAGAGGTTGTTACATGCTGGGAAGGATGAGGGAAAGATGAATAAAAAGAGGCTGGATAACAGGTACCAAAACACAGAAGGAAGAAGTTCTGGCTTTCCACACCACAGTGGGGTAATAACCAAGCATACTTTTTATGAATAAGGTGTAGTGCGGTGGGCAAAGGCTCCAAATATGAAGAAATGGTAAAGAGAGGGAAATGCAAACCACCCTGTTTGATTGGTGCATGATGTGCACATTTTTTCTGCACTGTACCTCATTAATATGTATAATTATTGCAGGTTAATAAAAAGAAAATTAAAAACAGTTCCTGTTGCTCCCTTATTCCATCTTTTGTTTTAGGACACCGATTGACCTCTTCACTTCCAGTAATTGTGCTTAGACATATTATATAACTTTTAATAATGGTTTTCCCTAAATAATTAACTGTCAAGTTTCATTATAAAAGTCCTATTCTTTTAATGAATGCCAACTAAAACACAGAGGGGTGGGTGATGGGTTGTCTTTAGCCTACTGTAATTAATAGGCCTGCATTTCTCCTATTAGAGACATCTAGCCCTGGTGAATGGCCCTCTTACACTAACACCAGCTTCCTAACAGTGAGTCCCCACTGACACACTATACACCCTGCTATGCACTTCACCTAAAATAGCCCCAACTGATCCAAACAACAGCACTGCAGGGTAAATGCTTTCATCATCCATATTTTGCAGTCAAGGAAACTTGGTCTTAGAGAAAGGTTAGGTGAACTATCCACAGGCATCACAGTGAGGACTGGAAGAAGGAAGATCTAAACCAGACATTCAGAACCAGATATTCTGAATCTACCACACTGAAACCCCTGGTTTCTTCAGTCAGAAAGGGTACTTGAGGCCTGCAAGTGCTTTTTCAATCTATATGGAAGTGGGGTTTTGGGGGTTGAGGGGTCCCCCCTCAGTACTGGGTATTGAACCCAGGGGCACTTAACCACTGAACCACATCCCCAGCCTTTTTAAATATTTTATTTAGAGACAGGATTTCATGAAATTGCTTAGGGCCTCACTAAGTTGTTGAAGCTGGCTTTGAATACACATCCTCCAGCCTCAGCCTTCCAAGCTGCTATCAGCCCTTGAGGTATTTTTATAGAACATTTGTCAAGATAAAGACTGTAATACTGCAGACAGTCTCCAGAGCTTAGCCACTGGGTTCCCAAAGGAGATTATCCTTTCTTTTCAATGACACCATCAGAAGTTATTACACCAGAAAACACTTCTTGGATAAATACTTTGAATCTTGAAGGGGAACTTCCTACAGGCAAAATTGTACAAATTAAAGACCTTTATTGTCTATGCCCCATCTTCTCACCTCAGGTAAAATCTGCCATGTGATCAAAGGGAATTGATTTTATTCTATTCAAAGTATCTTTTGCAACTTTGGATCAGAGTTTGTGCTTTCTTCTGAGATATAAAAAGTCAAGGGAAAACAATATAGACTTTATTTTAGAATCAAGTTTCAATTAAACTATTTAATAAACACCTGTTAGCACAACACTGTTCTCAGTCTATTTAGAGGTGATTAATTAAAAAAAAAAAAAAAAAAGTAAAACGCTCTCTCCAGGAATTCTGAACCTGGTGAGGAATATGCATACATATAAACACTATTTATGATGGAAATGGCTTTGAGGGGGATGTTGAAGGATGAGAAAGAAGCTACAGAAAGATATCAACAGATATATATGGGAAGATTATTCCAGAGATCATGTTGTAATACAGGTCAATGGATGGTAGTCTGTGGATATGCTGGACCTATGACTATAAGATCAGTATGAATGAAGCCTGGCTATGTAGAAGTGGGGAGAGGGAAAAGGAGATAGTGGGAGATAATGCTATCAAGGAGGTAAAAATTAGACTGTTAGGCTCTGAATATCAGGAAGAATACACACAATGATTAAAAAATCAAAAACAGAAAATGCCTTTCAAACCACATACCACAAAGAGATAAGGTTAATAAAGTTTTTAGAAAAAAAAAAGGACTATTTTATTGAAAGTATAAGAACACAGTCAAACTTTAACCTGCTTAAAACTTACGAAGTGGTAACTATTCTAAAGTTTATGCTATTCCTAAAATTTAAGGGGGGGAAAATCCTCGGAGAGTGGAAAGATAGAGGAAATTCTATCTTTTGGACTTCGGTCATAGTAGCTCTACTTAAGATGACCCATTCAGGTCCTTCAGAAGTCTTCTGGGGAAACACAAACTTCAGTACATATGTCATTGAATGTGGTTTGGTATTTACTTATAAATCATGTGCTATTTTTTATTTAACTGTCCATTGCTAAAAAGCAAACACTCTTTCAGTTACTAGTTATCTGAAAAATCAAGGGATTTGCCACAGGGTAAGCAGAGCCATACTGCAATAACCAACACAATCAGCTCTGAATCCAGGTTCCTCAAAAACAGAGGACCCTTCTTCCCAGATCACTAGATTCCTCTTCAAACCCTGCCTTCCTCCCCATCTAATATGCAATAACAGAAGCATGCTTATGTTTCTATTATACAAGCAATAAATATTTACTGGATCTTTCACCCCTGCTTCATTTCTATGCCCCTGAACATATTTGATTCACCCTAGAAAACTTCCTGATAAGATAGAGCACAGAATAATGACAGCACAGAACACATGACAAAACAGATCAGCTTTCAAATATCAACATTGGGGGCACGTTCCTTCCCTACGTGCTTCTCTGTCCGGCAAGGTACACAAACTGCATATCACATGGCAGTTCATATGAAACTTTAATTGTCAGCTGCTCATAAGTAGAATTACTTCTGCCTCTGTGGCCATGCCTCAGATTCAGTGGCTGTTTGGGGTCTCCAGAATCATACCTTCTCAGGTTGGTGCAGTAATTTTGTAAAATCATTCTGTTCATAAGAGATGGTCCTTTCCACTTTATTGTTGATTTTAACCAGTATCAAAATTCAAATGGGGGGTTGGGTTGTAGCTCAGTAGTAGAGCGCTGGCCTCACATGTGTGAGGCCCTGGGTTCGGGTCCCAGCACCACATAAAAAAAAAAAATAAACAATTAAAAATAAAAATATGGTGTCCATTTACATGTAAAAAAATAAAATTTTAAAAAATTAAAATGGGTGATGAATAACTGTTACAGTTCCTTGTGTGGATATCCACAAGACTGAGAAACAGATGATGTAGAGTTGGGCAAAAGTCATCTCTACACTCACTGGGGTGAAACAATGTCAGACACTTAAATGAATCCAGGATTTCAATACTGATTCAATTCTCTCTCAAGTGCCCTTGGGAAAAAAGACACACTGGAACAACAAACTGGACTATGAGTAATTATATCCTGCCAGTCAGCAAATGACTCTTGTAGTGCCACCTCTTGCTCTGACCTGTTATGCTGAGTAACTGAATTGCTACTCAAAAGAGGTGAGTATGGTTTAAATCAGAGGAATATTTTATAGCAACTGGAGCAGGGAGGCAGGGTGGGAGGAAAGGGAGATAGAAAAAAATGAACAACTAACCAGCCACCACTCAATTGATAGGAGGGTAAAGAACACCAGACCTCAGCTTTCACCTTTTGCAGTATTCAAGGAAAAGGATGTTCAATCTGCTTTATTTTGACCCTGTGGTAGCACTTTGGGTTTAACTTATTTTCATCTTATATGTCTTAATGCAAAACCCAAATACTGGGACTGATGATGCACTTTAAGAGTTAACCACATCATTAAAATACATTATGATTGGCTGGGTTTGTAGCTCAGTAGTAGAGCGCTTGCTAGCACGTATGAAGCACTGGGTTTGATCCTCAGCACTACATAAAAATAAGTAAATAAAGGTATTGTGTACATATACAACTAAAAATAAAAATATTTTTAAAAAGTACGTTATGCACTTCTGAAATCCTTATCTGGGGGTAATCAATCAGCAAGAAGTTCTTGACCATGGATTATGGCTCTCAATTACCCTGAGCATCACAGCAGGTACAGAGCCTTCAAACATCTCACCTAAAGCTGAAGAGCAAAACTAACGTCTGAAGCAATAATTCACAATGCAGGAAGAACTATAAGTGCCAATTTACGTGATACCATCTCCTTTTATCCCAGGAGATGGGACTTAAGGGGGGAGGGCTCTCTTTGGATACAAACTCACCTAACTGAAAATACGACAAATTAAAATGAGGGATTCTTGTCCTGTACTGTCGTTATTTGTGCACATCCATCCTGTCAGCGGTAAGCAAAGGAGGGGCTGGGAAGGTCAAGGGAGACCCTTTCGGAAAGCCGTGGCTGCCTACTCTCAGCCCACGGGTATTCACCGGACCTCCACCTTGCCCAAGTACAGCCTGCTGCGTTCTCCCTGTCAAACCCCGGTCCCAGCCCGCAGCAGGGCTGCCGGGCCAGTGGGGGCAGAGTCTCAAAGCCGCACCGCTGCGCCACCCTCACTGGCCCGGAGCACGCCGCCGCGGGCTGGGCGCGCTCTGACTCCGGAGGGCGACGGGAAACCGAGAGGAGGAGGGGCAGGGCCCAGGTCGTCTGCCCCGGGACAGCGCCGGAGCCGCGACAGGGACGGCCCCGCGCCCGCCGCGCTCCCGCCTACCTCCCGCTCCGTCAGGTTCTTGTCGGGCCCCAGCAGGTAGGGCGTGAGGAAGGGCTCGGAGGGCCGCAGGCTGGCGAAGAAGCCGTACGCGCAGAGCAGCGCGGTGGGCAGGAACCAGCACCCGCGAGGGACCCGCGCAGTGCGCAGGAGCATGGTGGCCGCCGCCGCCGCCGCCCGCCGGGACACCGGGCCGGGCACATCCATTCGGGGCGCGGGAGGGGACCGGCCCGGCCCCTTCCTTCTGCTCCGCCAACTGGAGGGAGTCCCAGGTGGCGACACCTACAACCTCTAGTGACACCTCTTCTCCGCAGGGCCAGCCGCTCCCGGCCGGTGGCCGCAGGGCGGGGCCTAGCCTCCCTCACGTGTCCTGCGGAGCCTCGCGGCCGCCCGGCTCCAGTGCCCGCCCCCTCGCCACCGCCTCCAGGTCGGGGCCAATCACGGTAGGCGCCCGGCACTCGGCTTCTCCCCGATTGGTCGTCGGCGGCCCCTCGCCAGACGCTGACGTCGAGGGGGCTGGCCGCGGGCTCGCCAGGCGCGCGGGAACGGGCATCGCTGCCGGCGGCTCAGTTCCCGCTCGGCGTCCCCTGTGCCTCAGTGTCGGCAGGCGCTGCGAGTGACCTCCCTCACAATTTGTCACCTTCCCTCTGAGGCCCGCACAGGTGTCCTCCTCGAAAGACGTGGCGACCCCTGCGGGCAGGGGCGGGGAGTGGCAACCCTTTTCCCCAGCGCCACGTGTGGAACTGGGTTCCTCCGCCCGAGTGGGACCGGGCCGCGAGTGGGCGCCGCGCGCCGCCCAGAGCGCGAGGGAGAGCGAGGCTGGGCGCCGAACCGCCCGGGAGCCCCGAGGCCGCGAGCTTCCCCGCCACGCTGTTTGCGAGAGCTGTGGCGAGAACCATTGAACTGCACAGTGTAATCTACGGTGCAGAAGAAAGTGGAAACTCTGAGTCATCCAAGCAATCGGGAATGGTCGATCTCATTTCAAAACAAAACAAAAGTCTTGGCATAGTTTTCAAAGACAAAGCATGACAGGAATCTCCAGGGCTTGCGCTCATCTCCTGGGTGCTTTCTGCTTGACGCACAGCCTGACTACCCATCCACTGCGGGCAAAGCTGCACCTGTAAAGCAGTTCTTCCTGTGCAGTATTTGTAGAATACAGATCCTGCCAGAAACCTATGCAAACATTTTTGGACCTTCTCTTTTGCTTTTAGGTATGTTATGAGAAGTCCAGCTTTTTATGTGAGCATCAGCAGCAAAGCCAGATGGAATACCATACTAGTGACCCTGCATGTGAATGCACCAAAATATGCGAGTTGATCAATCTGTGAAAAAAAACACAATCCATGGTATTTATACCTCTCAATGAGTCTTTTCAAAGAGTGGTTCAGGAATCCTTGAAGGTCCCTGGGACCTTCTCAGAGGATACACAGGTCAAAACTAGTTTGTAATCATATTAAGGCTTTATTTGCTTTTACACTCCAGAGCAACGTCATGTCTAATGATATTGTTACTAAGAGAATGTGTGCTTGTGCACTTTTGTGTTTAAAAAACTTTCCAGGTTTCATTTATTGTATGGTAAATATAATTTGATAAAGACCCACCCAAACCAAAGTCTTAGGGTCGGTCCTCAATTATAAAGGTCCTCAGACCATCATATTTGACAACTACTGATCTCCTGCAGTACAATTATCTAGTCCCCTAAACTCCTGCATAGTATTTGCTTCTCTTCACTATGACTAGAGAACAGTGGTCCTGTTGGCAATTGCTTTGCATTTACATTAATTGCTTGGAGAAACCAGAAGAGGAAGGAAGGGAGGGAGGGAAGGAAGGAAGGCCGGCCAGGAGAAGCCTCAGAAAGAGAAGCCTACCTACCAAAAGAGCATATTTCTATCCTTTAGACTTGGAGACCTGAACTATGCTAATCTGTAAACTACTGGTTCTGTAATTTTTCTTGGACATAAATCTGGTAGGCCTTTTAAATCGTCTTTGAAGTGATGCTAAGAATAAACCAAACAGCAGTTGTTCTTGAATTGGGTGGAAAAAGTCATCTTCTTATTTTTCTGTAAGAGAGCATGATAGGCAGAATTCTAAAAATGACCCCAGTGGCCTTTGCCCTTGTGTAATCTCTATCCATTTGTGTGGGATGGAGCATGTAAATTTGATGAAATGATATTCCTGTGAGTATCTAACATTTTACGGCAAATGTGTGATTCTGCATCTGGTCCCAATTCAAGTGCTGGCGAGGATGTGGGGAAAAGGGTACACTTGTACATTGCTGGTGGGACTGCAAATTGGTGCAGCCAATTTGGAAAGCAGTATGGAGATTTCTTGGAAAGCTGGGAATGGAGCCACCATTTGACCCAGCTATTCCCCTTCTTGGTCTATTCCCTAAAGACCTAAAAAGAGCATGCTACAGGGACACTGCTACATCGATGTTCATAGCAGCTCAATTCACAATAGCAAGACTTTGGAACCAACCCAGATGCCCTTCAATAGACGAATGGATTAAAAAATTGTGGCATTTATACACAATGGAGTATTACTCTGCATTAAAAAATGACAAAATCATAGAATTTGCAGGGAAATGGATGGCACTAGAGCAGATTATGCTAAGTGAAGCTAGCCAATCCCTAAAAAGCAAATGCCAAATGTCTCCTTTGATATAAGGAGAGTAACTAAGAACAGAGTAGGGACGAAGAGCATGAGAAGAAGATTAACATTAAACAGAGATGAGAGGTGGGAGGGAAAGGGAGAGAAAAGGGAAATTGCATGGAAATGGAAGGAGACCCTCAGGGTTATACAAAAGAACATACAAGAGGGAATGAGGGGAAAGGGAAAAATAATACAAGGGGGAGAAATGAAGGTCAATAGGGGGGGTAGAGAGAGAAGAAGGGTGGGGAGGGGAGGGAGGAGGGGGGATAGTAGAGGATAGGAAAGGCAGCAGAACACAACAGACACTAGTATGGCAATATGTAAATCAATGGATGTGTAATTGATGTGATTCTGCAATCTGTATATGGGCTAAAAATGGGAGTTCATAACTCACTTGAAGCAAAGTGTGAAAGATGATATATCAAGAACTATGTAATGTTTTGAACAACCAACAATAAAAAAAAAAAAATAAATAAATGAGTTCTTTAAATGCAAAATTTTCAGAGAGATTTGAAGGATGATAAGAATTTGATGTGCTGCTGCTGGAGGGGACTGTGCTCCAAAGAACATGATCAGTCTGTAGCAACTGTGACTGGCTTCTGGTGCTCAGCTAGCAAGCAAGTGGCGATGCCAGTTCTACCACCATATGGACCTGAGTTCTGCTACAGACCTCAATGAACTGGGAAGTGGATTCTTCCTCAGAGCAACTGGAGAAGAGCTTGGCCTGCTCAACATCTTAGTTTTCGACTGTGGAACACTAAGCAGAGAACCCACTCAAGCCCACCTGGACTTCTGATCTACAGAATTGTGAGTTAAGAGAGATAATTTTTTTAAAAATGCTAAATTTGTGGTAATTGTTGTATAGCAATAGGAAATTAATATAGAGGTAAATAGGATATATTTTTAAATTGAGGTAGTATTCACATAACATGAAAATAGCCATTAACCATATTGAAGTGTGCAACTCAGTGCCATTAGTGTATTCACTGCATTGTGGAGCCATTCTTTCTGTCTAGTTCCAAGACATTTACAACCACTCTTTCCATGAAAACTGGACAGAAAACCCATACCATTAAGCTACTAGTATCTGTTCCCCCTCCTTCCAGCCCCTAGCAAACTGCAATGTGCTTTCTATCATTATGAATTTACAAACTTCATACAACATATGACCCTTCTTGTCTGGCTTTTTTAGTTTAGCATAATGTTTCAAATTTCCCTTCACATTGTAGTATGTGGTAGTACTTCATTCCTTATTGTAGTGGAGTAATATGTGTATACTCTACATTTTGCTTATGGATTCATCTGTTGATGGACATTTGAGTTGTTCTTGCTTTTTGGCTCTTATGAATAGTGCTGGTGTGAACATTCCTGTGCAAGTGTTTAAATGCCTATTTTCAGTTCTTTGGGAGTATTTACCTAGGAGAAGGATTGCTGTTTCATTGGCAATTCTGTGTTTATTTGAGGAATTGCCAAACTGTTCTGCAGAGAAACTACACCATTTTACATTCTACAAGCAATGTATAAAAGGTTCCTATTTTCCCACATCTTTGTCAACATTTATTTTCCTTTTTAAAAAATAGCCATCCTAATGGGTATGAAATGGTATCTCATCGTAGTTTTGATTTGCATTTCCCAATGATTGATGATGCTTACCATCTTTTCATGTATTTGTTAACTATTTGTATATCTTCTTGAGAAATATGTCTATTCAAGTCCTTTGCCCACTTTTTTATTGGGTGGTTTGTCTTTTGTCATTGAGTTATAAGAGTTCTTTATATATTCTAGATACTCTGTTCTCTTATTTGGTATGAGTAGATAAAATATTGGAAGATTTTTTTTTCTTTTTATATGTAATAGATGTGTGGTTTACAAAAGTAAGATTAAGTTATGCAGTTGTACACATTTCTGTTTTTCTCACTAAGGAATAATTTATGGTGCACATTCTCTTTAATAAAGTATATTTAATGCCTAGATCCCATTATGTGGATATACTATATATAATCCATTCATTCTGTTTCTAGTTTTCAATCACTACCAACAATACTGCGAATAACATCATTGCACAATATACCTATATCTTTTAAATTTAATTTTAATGGCATTTATTCCCAGGACTGCAATTGCTGAGTTAGAATATATGCATTTTTCATTTTAATAGATGTTGCTTTGTTGATTTTCATAAAAGCTATAATAACTTATCATTTTTACTAGCAACAGATGAGAGTATTTATTTTTATTGTATCTATGGTAAAATTAATCACATGAGCAGAATTTTCTACTGCTGGTATCAGAAGTCATATTTGAAGGATGAGAAGAATTTGATGTGTGACTTTTACATTTTTGCTTGTCTAGTAGGTGCAAATAAGTAGTTCTCAGTCTGCAATGATTTTTGCCCTCCAGAGACATTTGTCAATATCTGGAGATAGTTTTGATTGTCATGACTTGCGGGAGGGTGCTATCAACTTCTACTGGGGAAAGCCAGGGATTCTGCTGCATATCCTGCAATACTCAAGGCACATCCACCACAAAGAGTTACCTACTCAGAATGTCATTGAGGAAGATGAGAAGCAATGTAAAAAGTTGATAAATCCTAGTATAAAGATTTGAAAATATTTATGGGTAAGTTTGAACATATTTCTGTTTTTGTCAGCTATTTGGATTTACTCTTCTATAAGTAGCCGACTTAGCCCTTTGCC